AAAAAATTACTCGGAGCCCCTCTGGCAATCAAAAACTGGTGTGCTACAGGCCATAATCCAGGATGAAGTATAAGTATCTGCAGGCCCCTGGATCATTCTAGTAGCCCAGCGGATGACGTTACTCACTTTGGGCAACAATTGTTTAGTTTCCCAAACTGGAATCCAGCAAGCACTAGCATTCCCAGAGAATGAGTCAAGGGAAGACGGCCTGGAAGTGAAGCAAGGTTTGGAACCAGTTCATTCAGGCTAGACCCTCTGCTGAGAATTTGCTTTTCCATTCTATTAACAGGATCCCAAGGTGATTCTTGTATATAATAATTACTTGAGGATCTTATTCATCTGTGGATTTGGATTTGGTCTATCTAGGGCAGAAATGCAAATTCCCTATAGGGAGTCAAACTGGAATAAACTGGTTTCAAACCTGATGAGAAGAGTAAACAAGGCACTCCTATCAAACTCAAATATTAAATGATGGAGGTCACGTTGGGCAAGCAGTTGTAGAATTCAAGAGATTTGAGTACCGCTTAGGAAAAAGCTCTAAATAAACCAGAGCCTCCAGAAGCTACAACATTTAGACTTGGCAGGGAGGGTGGAGGAGGGTGGTGGCGTAGTTAAGTGTTCGGCTGCTACTCAAAGGGTTTGAATCCACCAGCTCCTCTATTAGAGAGAGATGTGGCCCTCAGCTTCCATAAAGATTTAGTCTTGGAAATTCTGAGGCCATTCCACTCTGAGCTATACAGGAGCTGAATCGGAATCAACTGGGAGGCAATGGGTTTGATTTGATTTGGGGGAAAGGCCAACCATCCTTGCAAGTGTGATATTCTAGAAGCCACAGCAAGAAAGTGTTTGCAAGAGGAGGGAGTGATTGACAAGATCAGATGCCGCCGCTGAGACCACGAGGAAGTTGAAACTGGAAAACAATCTATTAGAAGTCCCCAGAAGATGATGGTGGTCTTGGCAGTGTAGTGGTGAGGGCGAGAGGAGGCTTGCTTCCCTTTTGGGAGGAGGGAAGTAGGCAACTAGCTGTGCATTCAGAAAGTTTATATTTAACACAGCCCCATCCAAGATCTATATGCTGAAAACTTCAAATGCTGTCAGTTGTTTACACTGACATGAGAAGAGCAAACCAAACCATACTCAACAATACTTTTTAAGTGGCATAATCTACAGTCACCACTAAAATTTGCGGAATTTGAAATTGCATTAAAATTCCACAAGGCGGCAGACTGGTTCCATTTCATGGGACATGTTGTGTGCCATCTATTTATTCCTACTTAGTCTCAGAATACTTTGATGGCAATGGATTTTGTTTGGGGGCTTTGTTTTAATAGGACAGAGTAGAACTGCCCCATAGTTTTCTAAACCATAATTTTAACTGAGCAAAGCCCTGGTGGCACAATGGTTAAGCACTTGGTTGGTGGTTCAAACCTACCAGGGACTCCATAGGAGAAAGCTGGGTGCACTGAGTTGGGTAGAAATCTAACGAGACATATACAGGATCTGTGTGCTGACCATTGTTACAGTGATGAAAGAAAAATTGTACAGACTTAAATAAATAGATATACCATGTCCATCAATTAGAAAAATCAATAATATTGTTTCTCAATGTTATCTATTACATTTAAGCTAATCACAAAAAAAATTAGGCAATTTTTTAAAAGATTGACAGATTTAAAATCTACATGGGAAAGCAACAATCTAAAGTAGCCTAAACTATTTTGAAGGAAGTGAATGAAGTTTGAGAGATTATGGTACCAGACTTCAAGAGCCAATTGAAAGCTATAGCAATCAAGACAGAATAGAAACTATAGTAATAGACCCACATAAATAGGGTCAACTGATTTGGTCAACTAACTTTGATAAAAACACAATTCTATGGAGTTAGACATAAAAATAAACCAATATCTAGCCTTATTCTTCACATATTACCTTAAAATGGATTGTTGACCAAAATGTAAAACATAAAATGATAAAGTTCCAAAATAAAACCTATCTTCAAATGTTAAGAAGGGAAACAACTGGGGGAAATTTCTGCATCACTTAAATCCAAAATATATAAAGATCTCTAAAATCCAATAGTTAGAAAACATTGCAAAAAAATGGATGTTACTATCTATATATTTTATCAAAGACGCTAATAGGTGGCATGATAAATTGCTAGTGGGCTTGTGATATGGCCCAGTCTATTGGAAAGGTATAGCCTTTTCAGATCAAGTTAAACATAAAGGGATTACATAGCCCAAGATCACATTACTCAAGAAAAATGAAACATGGTCACACATCAACCTGTACATGAATGT